CTAAACCCCTAAACCCCAAAACCTCTCTTATGCTGCGCGTGACCGGCGCAAGCCCTGACGCCTCGACTCCAAACCCGGAGCCCATGAACAAATTAGGACTGCTAGCAAAGAGCCCATAACAGGCACAAGAGGTTTTGGGGTTTCAGGATATAGCTGGAACCACCGACCTGAAGTAGGATTTTTTGGAGTTCAGGAGCCTAGCTTATGGGAGTTTTGAGCTCGAAGATGTAGCTTTAAATTGTCTATAGCCTCAGCTTTCTGCATCCTCAGTAAGAACTCTATCGTCTTGCCGTCATATTGCAGGACGCCGACAGCGCCAACGCCGGAGGCATCGAAGTAGCCCGAGACGCGAGACCCCACACCCTAAGCCAGCCTAAACCCCGAGACCCAATTTTGGGGTGTAAGATTCACAGGGGTACCCATAGCAATTCGGGTGTGCACAGCGATCACAAACAGGCCTACAGGCCCTTGTACCGCCCAGAAATCCGACGCTGGCCTTCCTTCTCTGGCCGTCCGTCCTTGAGTCCTAGCGGATCTGTAAGCTCTGCTCATCTCATACCTTTGACGTATAGACCTTTCAGTGTCAATTGCTTGCCCACTCGCCGGGTTAAGACCGAGGTCGAAACCCAGAAAAACCCTCCTCAAGTCATGAATCCTAGACCCTCAAAACTCAGAGCCCCGTGCTGAAACCCCGAAAGCCTAGATCTTCAATCCGGGGCCCCAAAACCCTGAATCCTAAACTATAAACACCACAAACATCAGACTTTGGACTCGTCCATTTTTATCAAAAGCGTTTCTTGGGGTTTAGGCTGGGTAGGGCGTAGGATTAGTTCCGGGATTGGGGGGACGGCTGGGAGACGAAGCAGCGGCAGTCGGGAACGACTTGAGCCGTTTCAAAACCCCGAAGCTTCCATCGTAAATCGGTAAGACTCAACATTCCGCCTTTGCCCGATGTCCAAACATGGCAGGCTGAATCCCCCCGAAACCAACACCCTAAATCCGAAACCCTAAACCCCAAAACTTCCAAAACTCATGCCTGGGTCCGTTCACCCTAAACCCTCAACCCTCAACCCAGTTGATGGCTTCGGCTTTGCGCCGCTGTAAACCCTGAACCCCGCAGAGTGCTTTGTTTTGTTGCCCACCTGGTTTCGCGGCCTGTCGCTGACGACACAGCACTGGACAACACTGCCAGCGCCCTGCACGTCTCTAAACCCTCAACACTAAACCCTTACTTACTTTCTTGGCGCAGCGCCTGAACAGACGAAAGTCCGAAAGTCCCTTACTTAGCAAACGCTAGGAACTCGAAAGACACCAGCAACAACTCGCAGGAAGACACCGGAATCCTGTGAGCCCGAAACCAAAAAAAACCCATGAAAAAGAAAGCAAGCGCCATAAACCCTCAACCCTAAACCCTAAACCCTAAACCCTAGGGCCCTAAGCCCTAAACCCTAGGGCCCCAAACGTAAGCGAAAGCCCGGGACCAGGAGGCCAAGGCAAGGCTGGCCCTAACCTCGAGGCCTGAGACCTCTTGGGCTGTCTCTATGTTCTTTCTTCTGGGGTTTAGGGTTTAGGGTTCTTTCTTCTGGGGTTTAGGGTTTAGGGTTTAGGGTTTTTTCTTCTGGTGCTCTTGTCGTTCTTCCTTTTTTTTGTGTCAGGTTTGCTTTCCTTTTCTTTGAGGAGCTGCTGTTTGTGTTTTGTCTTTTTTTTAATGGTCTGGAGCGGCGGGCGTTCGGGTTTACACTGAACCCCATAAAGTTGGAAACCGGAGTAAGGACAAGTAGTGCTGGAGTTCCATATGCGCTACTCTTTAAGGATTGGGGCTATCGGGTTTCCAACTTTGGGCTTTTACAAACCCTAAACCCTAAACCCTAAACCCTAAACCCTAAACCGTGTAGGTTGGAGGTGGTAGAACCCCCAAACTTCAATCAACTTGGGGTCCCCCTGGCTTCGATTGATTCGGGACCTTGGGAGAGATTGGTGGCGTCCCTGCGTTCTTGCAGCTGGCTATATCTGTATATATATATATATATAGATAGAGAGAGAGAGAGAGATAAATATGTGTGTGTATATATATATATATCTATCTATCTATATATGTATAAATCTAAATTCACATGGATTTGGAGGCAATCCTCGGGACCTCCTTTTTTTGGTGCGATGTCGACTGAAGGGTTGTTGCGTGTTCTGCGGATTTAGGGCTTAGGGTGTAGCCCATAACACCCCGCAGGCGAACCCTGAAGTTCATTGAATAGGACCAACCCGGAGCCTTCAACCACAAGCAAAGGCCCAAGACCCTAACTTTCGAGACTTAAGGCGCTGAAGAGGCCTTGCGAACAAATCCGAGAACATGAACCCCAAGGAACTGTGAATCAGTATAAAGACACCGTCCAAGACGCCATTAACATCATTACTTTGCTACGAGGATTCCATAACCATCCATCGTAAGATTTCGAAAGCTACTGCCACGAAACACGGGAGTCTCTGGGGGGGGGGGGGTCCTCGATTGCAAAAGAGCATATTCTAGTCATTGCAATGACCACCCTACAACCCTTCAAAGATTCTTTAAAATGACGCGGAAACCCCGTTCTACTGTATCATAGAACCCATGCCGTAGCCTCGATGCCGAATGGCTGCACGCTAAACTTTCTAGGATAATATAATCCCCTATAAGAAAACTGAAATTGTACACCTTCTTTGGGCTTATGAACTCAGAGACTAAGTACAGAGGCGGCCTCCTTAGAGGAGCTCAAGCGCGAGCTCGAGAGGCGGGATCAGGGCTGAGCTTCCTCCTGAGGCTTCTTTGAAAAGGGTTCCTTTCAGGGTTCTACGATGGCTTGTAGGGTGGCTTTAAGGGTTCTCGGGTTTCCTTGTTCGGGTTGCTTTGAAGGTGTTAGCCCACTAGACGCCTGAGGCCTGTGGCCTCGGCGGATATTTTCAGGGTTCCTTCTTGAGCTTCTACAAATATGGCCTGCAAACCATGGAAAATATCCTTGCTTGGGTCAGTTTCAGGCTGTGACTGGACGCGGTTTGATATTCCACAATTTCGAACACGAGGTACATTATACATGACTTCATTCTCAATGGAGAGTATGCCCATATATTCTTTCTTTCTCTCTCAATCTCTGTTCAGATATATCATCGAGGTGTTTGCGAACATCTAGAGCCGTACCTGTGTGTGTATACATATGTAGACAGCTTTGTATGTATAGAGGCGGCAATCAGCTTTAGACAACAGAGTTACTTGCAACGACTGGCATATGCGCATACTTGCAGACGCACATACACATCGATGCATGCATTTATACCTACATTCATACCTATGTACTTACATATATATATATATTGTACATGCCTTCGTACGGACAACAGGCATACAGCCAGCCAGCCAGCAGGCTTGCAGACAGGCAGACAGGCAGGCAGACAGGCAGGCATACAGACAGGCAGACAGACAGACACAGTGGGCTTGCAGTCTTCAGCATCATGCGCTTTCCTGCGTGGTGGCGAATTCGAGGTTTTCGGGTTAGGTGCAGTCGCAGCCACAATCGTCGTCGAAGCCGTCGTCGTGCTAGTAGTCGTAGTTGTCGTCGCCGTGCTAGTGCTCGTCGTCGTGGTCGTTGTGGTCGTCGTAGTCGGCAGCGTATCTTGTTTTCGTGAATCGTGATCGTAGTCTTGGTCTTTGCCGCCGTCGAAGTCGTGGTCATTTGGTGGTGTAGCGGCAGTGACAATAACAGTAACGGCAGTGACAATAAACAGTGGCAGTGGCAGTGGTAGTGGCAGTGGCAGTGGTGGAAGTGGTAGTGGTTGTGGTAGTGGTGGTGGTAGTGGTGGTAGCAGCAGCAGCCGTCGTCGTCGTCGTTGTGGTGGTAGTGGTGGTAGTAGTAGTAGTAGTAGTAGTAGTAGGAGTAGTAGTAGGAGCATGAGTAGGGGTAGAAGTAGGACCAGGACTAGGACCAGGACCAGGACTACGACTAGGAATGGGAGTCTTGAAGTAGGAGTAGTCGTGGTGGTGGTGGCGGCAGCTGTGACAATAGTAGAACTATGAACAGCATTGGCAACTCGCGTGGTGCTACAGCATAACCCGTTAAACGCTGAGACGCACGCGCTGAAGTCTTGCACTGGGCCCTAGACACTAAACCGTTAACCCAACACCCTGAGCCCTCAAATGCTATACGTGCTCATCCTCCAACATCTAGGCGTGAAGAGGATGCCGCAGAAATGAAAGCAGAGGAGGAGGACACTGCACATTTGGTTTATCTTGGTTTATCTCTGAAACAGATGCTATGGGATTCCATAGGGGTGTCTGATATGATTTGTCCTCTAGGGTAGTAAGGCTGGGAGTGTCGCTGGTGGGTTGATGAGTTAGGGAGCTCCTTGGCGACCATGCTTTCGCGAAGCTGGGTTCTTGTTAAGGCGTTTAATTTAAGCTACCATAGTAGGGTTCTATCGTAAATAATATGGTTTCCTTACTATAGAAACTTAAACTAAATCCCCGAACAAGAGCCCAGGAAAAGGTTGCATAGGCTTCTCGGGAGTTTTGTAATCGTTGCCTACTGGCCATTGTAGCACACCTAGCATCTCTTAGCAAGTGTTTGCCAGGGTTTTCTAGCAAGCCCCTAGGATCTCCTTTTGTAGCGTCTCCTCTTCGATACGTTTTAGCATTCTGAGGCTCGCACGCCGTGCCCTGGCACCCAAGTCCATCTTGTGTGGCGACCTGCCTCTGCAACATGTCCCTAAACCCTAAACCCTAAACCCTAAACCCCTAATACCGCAAATCTTTGGCTCAGTCGCAAGGTCGGATCCAACAAAACCCGAAACGAAGTCCTCGCAGAGCCGTTTGGCGAACGCACGAAGAGGCCCGAAGGGAACCTCCCCGTGGCTGAATCCATGGCCTTCCGGGTGGAACTCCGGAATGCTCTGAAACTTCGAAGCGATTTGTACGGCTTAGGGTTCCTTTTTTTTGTTGGGGTTTAGGGTTTAGGATTCCTTAAACTAGTTTAGAGTTTAGGGGTTTGGGGGTTTCGGGCATCAAAGGTTAAGGGGTTGGGGTTTAGGGTTTATGGGTTTAGGGTGGGGTTCATGCTTTAGAGTTTATGTAGAATTTAGGGCGTAAGGCTTAGAATCATAAGCCGAGACGTTGCTGGATTTATTTTTTTTGGTACTGCATTTTGCTTTTTGAGTTGTGCAGTTTCTTGAAAAGGCCACTCTTTGCTGACCTTCTGTCCGAAGGAAAAGTGTACACACCTAACGGTAACCGTCTCCTACAAAGAAACATACCTACGGACCAGTCCCTTGCGATAGCTGTTGCTGTAAAGGGGTTCACCGGTATGAGCGGCAAGAACCGGATTTCGGGCTCAAGGTTTAGGGTTTAGGGTTCAGGGATGAGTGTATGGCTTTGTCATGAAGGGGTGCTAGGACTCCCATGTAGTCCCACAGACGAATCTTGGCGGTCGTAGCAATGCGGACGACCAAGGAATGCCGAGCTGCTTACGGAGCTGAAGCAGGAAGGTCCATGCCCGGTGGGAGTTCTTCAGAGCCACCTGGCCACGATGTTCCGCGATGACGCACGCCCGGTCTTGGTGTTGCAGGGCTCTCCTATGACCTCCGCAGATGTCCTTCGAGAAGATGTTTCTCTGGAGGTGGTTCGCCGGACTGTGACGGAAGCAGCCGCCAAGAGCCTGCAAGAGGCTCGCAAAGGTGTTGGCGAGCTGAGTGCAGGTGTCATCAAAGAGATCACGGCTCTGAAAGTCCCGCCAAACCCCTTGCTTCACGTGCTCTCGGCCATCCTGAGCTTGATGGGGCACCAAGAGCCTTCATGGCCTTCTGTGACAGTCTTTCTATCCGGCCCTGAACTGCCAAAACTCATCGCCCTCGAGCCCCATCAAGTAAGCTGGGAGAGTCAGCTCGCTGTACAGCAGATGCTGGAGGAGCACGCCGACACTTGAAGGCAACTTGGGATAAGCTCCGATGCTCTTGATGGTCTTTTTTGCCCGTAGCTGTTCACAAAACATATCTTGGGGCCTAGACCTCGAAACCCTAAACTTTAAGCTTTGATGGCAACCGAGGAGAGTTTCAAGCACGAGGAAATCAGCCGAATCTCCCTGGCGGGCGCGGCCTTCGCAGCCTTGGTGAGGGCTTTCCTAGCCTGCTGGGCAGGCGATTCGGCGTAGAGGAAGGACCTGAACAAGCAGAGGTGCGGACAGGAACAAGGGCTTCTGCACCCCTTGCTTCAAAGGCTCCACGTTGTTACGAACGACCCCCTTCCCTCCTCCTCCTTCATCGAAGCCATCCGAGCGCGTGGCGTGAATGCATGGTGAGACGAGCTTTTGCTGTGTTCTTCCCCGCTCCTTGCCTTCTTTGACCCCTGCCTTTTAAACCCTGAAGGGCCCTAGGGCCCTAAGCCTTAAACCCTTACACCCAAACCCGCCTAAAGCTTAAATTCTACATCCATAACCCCTAAATTTTAAACCCTAGCCCCCAAACCCCTAAACCCCCCAAACCCCCCAAACCCCTTAACCCCCAAACCCTAAACCCCAATCCCTAAATCCTGACCCTCAAACCCTAAACACCCCTTTCCTAGAATGCCCTGGACCCCTCGGAGCTCAGGGCTATGTCCCTGCACTTTAGGGCTCGTTTAGGATTTAGGGTTTAGGGTTTGGTGGGTTTGGGTTTAGAGGCTTCAGGTTTAGTGTTCCGGGATTCGGGTTCAGAAGGCATTCTGTGGTTTTGGGCTTGAATAACAGCAGACCTTCGAAAGAGCCGTGATGCTAACATCAGAAATCACCATAAGCCACAACTATGATGGTGTATGTAAACACATAGGAAGGATCATGGGCATAGATATACCCAAAACCCTATAGACCCTACATCAAAGTACAACGGTCTAAAGGGTTTGCTGGTCCGTCGATGCAAAAAGTTTCAAGGGGGGGCTTGCAGCCGAAGGAAGGTAGATAGGGTGTACGGTTTCCGACTTTTTTTTGTGGGGTAGGGGCTTAGGGCAGAAGGTTTAGTGATTCGGCCTTTGCAGTGTTTTCGGACTTGGGTTTAGGGTTTAGGGTTTAGGGTTTAGGGTTTAGGGTTTAGGGTTTAGGGTTTTGAGATACCTGAATCGGACTCGGAACCATGAGGATGGCGTTGTTTGAGGAGATTATGAGTCTTTGGTAGCCTTTACCTCCGGCTCCAGGGGTCCGAATCCAGAGGACCTTCTGTCGTGCTATCTCAAGGGGTAGAGGCAAAGTTAAATACTCAGTGCAGCCACCTGTGTATCTCGGATCTGGTGGAAGCGCTGCCAGACATGCCCAGCGCTTCAGTGCCTACGGTTTTCGAACCCCCAAACCCCTAAAGTTAAAGCTTGAACCCTAAAACCCCTAAAAGCTTGACTCCTAAACCCTAAAAGCTCTTGGGGCGGAAGAAACCCCAACTCGCCGAAAACTTCTGCCAGCCACGTGCTTGACGCCTTTTGAGCTTCGGACAGCGTGCCCTTCCAAATCCTATGCCAGTAGTTTGGGGTTTAGGGTTTGGGGTTTAAGGGGTCCTATGCCGGTTGTTTGGGGTTTATAAAGTTTAGCGCTACTTAGTTCAGAGATGTGTTAATTGCGAGCGCGCCGACAAGAACAAGATGAAGCAGCAACAGCAGTCATAGCAACGGCAACAGACACAATGCCAACCGTGAGTGCAACTGTCGACCTCTACATTATTTGCACATTTGCGCAATTCCTGCTGCGTGAGTGCTTCTGCACGTTCCGAGAAGCGCGCTGCTACTCGGCAGGGCAGCCTCATGTCGATTACATTGCATGTGTCACTCCTGAGTGGTCACGAGACGTCTCTATCTGCTGAGCCTGAGACCCGAGTGGAGGACTTGGTCGCAGAGCAAGTAACCAGTAGCTTTTGTGGTGTGTGGTGTGCTACATCTTTAAACCTTATATAGCCCCTTAAAGAAACAAACTTTAGTTTTCATATGTTTTTCTCGGAAACTGGACAAGTAAGAGGAGCTACGGCGGAGGGTTCAGCTGGAGCTGGGCATCGGCCCCTGTCGGTTAGTCGCAGCAGGGGAGGTGCTTCAGCCCCGTGCCACGCTCAGTCAGCAAAAGCTGACGGATGGCATGCAGATTGTGGCCGTGCTTCGCCAGCCAGAGATCATCTCGACACGCCGATCCACCTCGATGGCCTTACTTACTGGAGACGGGTCCGTGCTGACCTGGGGTGACCCAGAAAGAGGCGGCGACTGCAGCGCGGTCCAGGACCAGCTGGTGCACGTCGAGAGCCTCCACGCAGCCCCGGGCTCCTTCGCTGCAATCTTGGCAGATGGGTCCGTGGTCACTTGGGGAGAGGAGTTGGCGGACACCAAGCCCGTGAAGCATCTACTCATGAATGTCCGTTCCATCCATTCCACGGGCTTTGCTTTTGGGGCCATCACGGACGACGGCTCCGTGGTTTCATGGGGTCATGAGCTCTTTGGGGGGCGGGCGCCGGCGAACCTCACCAACGTCAGGCACAGCTTAGACTGATTCGGGCTTAGGATTTGGGTTTAAGGGGGGTCTGTCGATATGGTCAAGCTAAGCTGCATCTCGAAGAGAAGCCGGTTTTAGGTCTTTCCGGAAAAGCGTCCCCGAAGCCATGTGAAATTGGGAGTCAATCCGCATGTCTAGCTGCACCTTAGAGCCTTCTTGGACACTTGGGTGGAAGAGTCTTAAGCTCTATACGCCCGAGGTCGCAACCAAAGAGCGTCAAATGCAAACCCTAAGCTCCCTAAACCCCCAAACTTAAAGCCTTAAAGCTCGTAGTCTTCGCCTCCTGCTGTAAGCCCTAAACCCAAAACCTCCTGAATCCTAACTTCGTAGTCCCCCAGCCCACAGCCCTGCAGCCTAAGCCCTAAACCTGATCCGAATCCTACCAGTAGCAAACAAACCCTCCATACAAGCCTATAGAGAGTCCTCGAAGGAGCCCCATACCTACAACCCTTTAAAGCCAAGAGCGCACAGACAATGGAGCCTGTTTAAACACTGCAAAGAAGGGGTCGGAATTGCTAATGCTATTTCTTAGGCCTCCTTAAAACAACTATCTTGTAAAGGACACGCGGACCTTATCCTAATCCCAGAGGCTCCTGTATCACCCCCCCCCCCCACCTCTGCCCCATGCTACAGGACCGTAACCCTAAACCCAGAACCCTAACCCTCAAACCCTCTCCCCAAACACGCTCCACAGGAAGCTTCTTGGTTCCCTCACGACCTTTGCTGCGCTTCGCAGCGACGGGTCGGTCGTGGCCTGGGGCGAAGATGGGCGCCAGGAGATGTGGGAGCAGCTGAGGACTGCATGACAGATAGTTACAGATATGTAGGGCTTAGGGTATTAGGTTTGGGATTTGGGGGAATTGCGGTTTAGGGAGCAGGTGAGGACGAGAAGGCTTCAGGGTTCAGGGTTTGGGAGTTTCAGGTGTTAGGGTCAGTGTCACCATTGGGGTACATGCCAATGGTTGTGGTTGTTCTCCTTGACGGCCATGATGATGAACAGGACTCTGACGATGATGTTAACGATGATGTTGGGGCTGGTGACCATGATGATGATGCTGCTGATGATGGTGATGATGATCATGATGCGGATGATGCTGCTAATGCTGGTGAAGCGATGGTTGGTGTTTTCTTTTGAGGTTTAGAGTTTAGGGTTTAGGGTTTAGGGTTAGTCGTCTCGGGTTCATAGTGCTTCCCCTGGGAGGAATGTGTGTGACATCCAGGCGACCGAGAGCGCCTTTGCGGCGCTGTCGCTAGTTCTGGAACAACGTGTTTAGGGTTCTGGCGGTATACCCCTTAACCCTAAACCCTAAACTGTAAACCCCTAAACCATATACCCCTAAACCCTAAAATGCCCCTTGAGAAGGACTTGAGTTTATATCATATCAGGTTCGGACTTTTGGGGAACCGCCAAGGTCCGCAGGTTCCGTGGTGGCTTTCGGCCATCCTCTTTATGGCGGCGTTCTGGACGAAAGGCTCCATGGCCCTCACAAGGTGGGCGGCCCCACAAGCCCTAAACCCTGAAGCTTAAGCCACAAACCCCGAAACCAGGAACCCTAAGCCCTAAACCCTAAAGCTTAAGCCAGAAACCCAAAACCAGGAACCCTAAGCCCTAAGCCCTAAAGCTTAGGGGTTCAGGGTTTAGGGTTTAGGGTTCAGGGTTTAGGGTTTAGGGTTTGGGGTCCTGCTTCTTGTTCGTGTCGTTGCTTGCGAACTGAAAATTGGGGACCGAATACGGTGCCTGGATAATGGGTTATAAGGAATACGGTAATGCCAATCTCAAGGAACTAAATACCCCCTTGGAGGGTTGGAGCAGCAGGTGCAGCAGATCTACTCCACTGATGGGGCTTTTGCAGCACTAGTGGAAGATGGTTCTGTTGTGGCATGGGGGGATGCTCTGTCCGGTGGTGACGTCAACGCCTCTCGGCAGCCCTGCACCGGTTTGGGCTTGTATGAGGAGCGCATATGTCATACATGTTTAGTCCAACTCCCATATTCCTAAACTCCGAACCCCGAAGCCCTGAAGCCTAAAAGCCCTAGACCCCCAACCGCCTACATCAAAGATACCCTAAACCCCAAACCTATACATTCCAACAAAGTAGCCAAGCACCACCAAGGTACCTCAGCCTGTCAACGTTCCTGGGCTCGTGTTACGGACTTTCTCTTCACCCTAGACCATGACCTCTAAACCCCCTCAACCCCTAAGCCCTTAAAACCACCAAAACCCTAAGCCCCAAACCCTAAACCCCTAAGCCCTTAAAACCACCTAAAAAAGTTTTAGAGCCCACTAAGTCCTGGCTCCCACAAAGCTGTAAGTTGGGGTTCAGAGTTCAGGGGTTCTGGCCAGGGTTGAGGGGTGGCGGGTTTTGGGCTGAGTTAACGTGACCATCACAGAGAAGCCTTGTGTTCACTATGTCACTATGTAAACAAGACTATATTGTATCACGATTTGAGATGTCCCGGATATGATATCCCTCTAGTGGTAACCTGAAGTAGGCTTGAACCTGTGTAGAACCCTTGTATTACCTTCACTAATTAAGAAGTCCTACAGTCCTGTAGCTCCCCGAAAAAAGCCCGGTGAGCCCCAAAGGAGCCCTAGAAACCCTATAGAGTTTCAGCCCAGGAGCCAGGACCCCAAAAGTGTCGGAGTGCCGTCCTTTGCTACTCTTGCTTGGATCCGTTCCCTTAAGGGTTTAGGGTTTAGGGTTTTAGGGGTTTAGGGTTTAGGGTTTACTAAACCACCCTAAATCCTAAACCCTAAACCCTAAACCTCAAACCCTGGTTGAGCCCAGGAGCAGCTCCACGACGTGCAGAGCATCGTGGCGTCGGCGGCCGCTTTCGCTGCGCTTAGGGCGGACCACACCGTGGTGACTTGCCACGGTTTTAAGGTTTTAGGGTTATAGGGTTTAGGGCTTTGGGGTTATAGGGTTGAGGGTTTTAGGGTTTAGGGTTTTACGGTTTAGGGGTTTTAGGGTTTAGGGTTTAGGGTTTTAGGGGTTTTGGGGTTTAGGGTTTAGGGTTTTAGGGTTTAGGGGTTTAGGGTTTAGGGTTTAGGTTCTATGAGGGTTCGACAGCTAGGGGTTTAGGAGCTTGAAGATAAGGCTTTATACGGCTTCTTTTAACTCCTCTGAGGGTTCTATGAGGGTTCTACAGCTAGGGGTTTAGGAGCTTGAAGATAAGGCTTTTCACGGCATCTTTGAACTTCTTATCGGGTTCTACGAGGGTTCTACAATTATACAGCTAAGGGTTTAGGAGCTTGAAGAATCAGGGTTTCAACAGGCTTTTTCTCTTTCAGGGTTTTCTGGGAAGAAGGGCTTTGCAAGGTCGACAGGGGTTGTATATGGTTTCATGTGGGTTTTAATCATGTGACTTAGTAAGCCAGTTAGATTTCGGCGCATATGTACCACGGTTGATGACCCTTCAAGAACCTACCAACAGCCCGCCCTGACCAAGAATCCTGTCCCCTAAATCCGAGCCGATGCTCTAAACCCAAGCCCTAAACCAAAAAGCCCTAAGCTAGGTAGGACCGATTTAGGGAAATTGTCGATTTCCGTTATTGGTTTGCCATAGAACCCGAGCTATGGATAGTTTTGGGGGATCTTGAAGTGGACACCTAGAGGGTCAGCTAGTGGGGCTTACACCGAACCCGATACCCGGCACGCTTGAGCCCTAAAACGCCAAAGCCCTAAGCCCTAACCCCTCACCCTCAACTGCTAAACCCTAAACCCTAAACCCTCAACAACTAAACCCTAAACCCTAAACTGTAGGCCCTAAACCCTAAACCCTAAGCTTTAGTCCCAAAGCCCTATAAGCCCTAAACCCTATAAGCCCTAAGCCCTATAAACCCGCAAACCCTATAAGCCCTAAACCCTAAACCCCAAACTTTAGTCCCTAAACCCTATAAGCCCTACACCTTACAGGCCCTAAGCCCTATAAGCCCTATAAGTTTGCAAGGCCCTAAATCCTAAGGAGCTTAGTGCTCAAAGGTAACCTGGGGCTGCCCGGAGCTTGGAGGCGACAGCTCCGCAGTGACTAGGCTTTCGGGTTTGCTTCCTGGGGCTTTTGCAGGGGGGGAGTTTAGGGGTTTAGCGGTTTAGGTTTAAGGTTTTCGAGCATTTATAGGGCTTTTTCTCGTTTTTTTTTTTTTCTTTGTGTGTGTGTGTGCTTTGACAGGGTTTAGGGTTGAGGAACTCCGTTTACTCGGGTTTTCCGTGATTTTTGTGCTTGAAAATCAGCTCGTTGCCAAGAACCCAGGTGAAGGAGCAGCTGAGGGACGTCACGCAGGCGCGAAGAAGCCGGAGGACAAATCCTAAACCCTGAACCCTAAACCGTCCGTCAACCCTTAGTAGCTGAATTACACTTTAAACTTTTGGGATAACATGATCCCTTATCGAACTGAAAGTGTACACTTTTTTTTGTGCTTGTGAACTCAGCAACTAGGAACCCTAAACCCTAAACCAAAACGACTCCAAAGGTGCCCTCAGCCCGACACCCCAAGCCTTATTAAGGCCCGGAGTAGAACCTTAATATAGAAGTCTACATCGTCGGAAAAAAATCCTATAACCTACACCCGAAGCCTATTCTACGCACTAATGCTCCTTTACATATATGTATGTGTATATATATATATACATTGATATTTACCTACTTACTTACACACACAGACACACACACAGATATATATATATATGTGTATATCAGGTCCTTTATAGAAACCTTGGAAGGAGCCCTCTAGAGCAAACTCTATTCTAATTGTGCAGCCCACCCCAAACCTCAAACCCTCAACCCTGAAGCCGTAGGTCTGCGCCACCGCCATGTCTTTCGCTGCCCTGCGCGCGGACGGCTCGGTGGTTACCTGGGGCAACTCCCACTTCGGGGGGAGCTGCCGTGCAGTGCAAGGCCCGGCATTGAGAAATTGGATTTGGAGCTTATAGGGTGTAGGATTGCGCTTTTATGGTTCGAGGTTTATAGTTTAGGATTAGGGCGGGATTGGGGGGAATTGGGTTTGGGTTGAGCCTCAAGACTATGAACATCCTTGCCTTTGACCCCGACATAGCTGAAGGCAGCCGAAAGGCATGCACAAATTCTTCAGGCCGCGAAATTGTTCTTGAAGGGTGTTGATCCAGACTGTTGCTGGACAGAATGCGGCCTTACCTATACATACTGCGGACTAGAGGAAGTATGTTATATTCTGTATTATTGTGGCTAGTGCAAGAGCATTTGCATGGACCGTGAGGTGAAGGTTTTCTGCCCTTTGGTATCCCTCCCCTCATGTCTTAGGATCTATAGAGAAGCCTTATTATCAAGCCCCACCCAACTTTAGCAGCCAAAACTAGGCCAGCCCCGGCTGAACGAGGCCAGTTACGCGACGTCCAGCATCTGGGTGCATCGGCCAATGCCTTCGTGGCTCTTTTAGCCGATGGCTCACTGGTCGCCTGGGGGGACACCGCCTTCGTCGAGACTGCACCTGCATCGTGGAAAATCAGAGGTCGGTGCTGACCGGGGTCTGTGGTCCTTAAAACCCGAAGCCCTAAGCCCGGAGCATCAGAAAACAAAGCCATCCTTTCTTGCAGACTTGCGAAGACGAGCAGCAGTTTACTCTAAGCCTTCCGGTGGGGGCAGGAAGGGTGCCCTTACAAGGAGGCCCTTGCCATCACGTTAGCAGGTTGAAACACAGCCGTAGGGTTTCAGCACTCTAACTCTATAGTAGTATATATCCCCCCCCAATCCATGCTCTAGTGATTCCGGCCACTGTGCTCGGCGCTTGCCTCAAAGCTAGAAGTGTTATTCCGAATGAACCCAACACCACACCAAAACGTGAAACTCAAAAATCCATCGAAAACATCGTGCAACTAGTGCTTGCTCCGTACAAAGCACTTTTTGAACCCAAACCCTGCAAGCGCTGCACCAACACCCAGAACCCCAAATCCCCAAACCCTAAACCATCGAAACCCACAGGTCCAGAGGTTTAGGGTTTAGGGTTTTAGGGTTTAGGTCCAATCAAGAATTCAGTAGTTTCGTTGCGAGGAAAGGCGACTGAGCAACAACCCCTGCACGCTGTACCGAAACCGCACTTCCGGTGCAATCGAGCGCGTGGTCATCGTCGGAGGCCCTCGGAAGGTTTTGGCAAGGCTTTGTACAGGAGGTATAGGGTTCCTCCCGCGCTTGATGAGGGCTTTAATAGAAGTCTTTATAGGGTTTTTGTAAGACTTTAACAGGCGGTTTGTGGGCTTGAAGCAGGTTATAAGTTGCATAAGCATCGTCCGTAAGTTACAAAGACATCAGCCCAGAGTTCCGAGCCCTGCGCCGAAAATCCAGATCCGTAAAGCCTTATCCCTTCTAAACCACATATCTTGAATTCTAAACCCTTATCCCTAAACCCTAAACCCTGAACCCTGAACCCTAAACCCTAAACCCTAATCTTAGACTCAATCCGGAGCCCGAAGCCTAGTTCGAAGATTGTCGGCCGGAGTCCGTGCGGACGAATCACAAGCTTTGTTTCAGTTGCTGTTGCTGCTGCTGCTGCTGTTCTTCAACAAGATCTGATGCCCCAAAATCCAGATCCAAATGCCATGCTTACAAGCGTCATTAGATTTAAACGAGCTTCCTTTAAGTTAAGGGACCTCCGGGAGTTGTTCCAACAACTCGAGTCGAGTTGGGTTTAGGGGTTTGGGTTCGGGGGTTGGAGTTTTGCGTTTTGGTGTTTAAGGTGCCTCAGAAGACGCTATTTTGTAAGTGGTTTTTGGGGTTCTACAAGGGGTTTTCCCGGTGTCTTGTAAGGGCTTTGCACGAGTTTTCAGTGT